TGATGTGATTAAAAAAAAAGATTATATCATTCAAGGTTGTGACAGGAAGCCAATATTCATTAGACTGTAACGTACAGAATAGCTTGGGGGTTGGGTGTGGTGGCTTTGGCAGATCACTCAAGGTCAGGAGTTTGAGACAAGCCTGGTGAACATAGTGAAACCCTGTCTCTACTAAAAATACAAAATGGGGCGTGGTGGCACATGCCTGTAGTCCCAGCTACTCAGGAGGCTCAAGCAGAAGAATCACTTGAACCTGGGAAGTAAAGGTTGCAGTGAGCCAAGTTCGCACCACTGCACTCCAGCCTGGGCGACGGAGTGAGACTCGGTCTAAAAAAAGAAAAAAAAAAATAGCTTGAGGAAGGAACTGGCTTCCTCTTCAAAGTAGCAGCAAAGAGATAAGAGACAGAATTTTCCCTCCTGGAATGATCTCTCCCTCCTGGATATGAGTATTTGGATGCTGACAGTACATGAGCTTCTGTAGAGAAAGGGGCTTGCATGGTACAGGGTCACGTACATCGAAGAGACAGTTCCTTCTCTTGTTTGCTCCTTTCCCCTTTGCACTAAAAGGAAACCAGAAGCCCTGGATACAAAATTCTTCAAGGATGAGTGAAAAGTCATCAAAGGAAAAATGCAGGAAACAACTTCTGGATGTAAATGCATTGCATGAGTTGACCAGACTTTTGATGATTTCCATATTTCATGCTCTCCTCTAGAATTGTAATGCCAAACAAAAGTCCTCCAAGCACAAGGTTTGCAGATTTTATTTTTTTAAGTAAAAGAACTTTCAAAATAAGAATAACTCCAAATTCAAAGATGCTGGGTCAAGCCTAGACAACGTGGTGAAATCCCATCTCTACTAAAAATACACGAAATTAGCCAGGCATAGTGGCACATGCCTGTAATTCCAGCTACTAGGGAGGCTGAGGCAGGAGAATCACTTGAACCTGGGAGGTGGAGGTCGCAGTGCGCTGAGATCATGCCACTGCACTCTAGGCTAGGCAACAAGAGTGAAACTCCATCTCAAAAAAAAAAGGTAGCTATAGCAAAAGTATAACAATCTCACTGGATGAAGTAGCCACAAACGCTGAGATACAGGGCCCTGTCCCCATTCAAAACCCGGAGAAAACGAGAACCATGACTACAGGGAGAGCCCAATATTCAGTGTAGGAAGGGACACCGAGGTACTTTACACCATCCTAGATCAGCTCTGGACAGTCAGAGATGCCAAAAGGAGGGATCTACTGGACAATTTCCACCACTCAGACCTAGCAGGTGAATCAGTGCCCAAGTGGGTAGATCCTTCCCACAGGGCACTCCAGGACCCTCTTGAGGACTACACACCCCAAACTCTGCAGTTTTCCAAGTCAAAGATAGCAGTGATGGCAGGTTGGTGGGAATAAGTCTTTACGATGAGATCACACAAATGGCTTGTTTTTAAGTGAAATTATGACAAATGGTATAATAGGAAATAATTTATTCAGCATTTTAGGTAAGAAAATAATGTACAAAATGATTTCAAATAAATATAAACAGCCAAACTCTATGGTAAGACATGGTATTTGCATTATTTTAATTTAACCAACAAACCATAATACTAAAAATATATATCACTGTATAGTCATGCACTGCATAATGACATTTTAGTCAACTACAAACTGCATATATGCTAGTGGTTCCCCCGTCTTTTCTTTTTTTTTTTTCTGAGATGGGGTTTCCCTCTTGATGCCCAGGCTGGAGTGCAATGGCACAGTCTTGGCTCACTGCAACCTCCGCCTCCCAGGTTCAAGCAATTCTCCTGCCTCAGCCTCTCGAGTAGCTGGGACTACAGGCACCCACTGGAATGTCCAACTAATTTTTCTATTTTTAGTAAAGACTGGGTTTTAGCATGTTGGCCAGGTAGGTCTGGACCTCCTGACCTTTGGTGATCTGTCCACCTCAGCCTCCCAAAGTGCTGGAATTACAGGCATGAGCCACTGCGCCCAGCCCCTCATCATCTTATAAGATTGCAATGGAGCTAAAAACTTCCCATTGCCTAGTGACATCATAGTTGTCATAACATTATAGCTCCGTTCATTACTTTTCCTATGTTTAGATATACAACTGGGTGTGGTGGCTCACACCTGTAATCCTAGCACTTTGGGAGGCCAAGGTGTGCAGATCACAGGTCAGGAGATCGAGATCATCCTGGCCAACAAGTTGAAACCCCATCTCTATAAAAAATTAAATAAGTAAATAAATATACGATACACAAATACCATTGTGTTACAATGGCCTGCAGTAGTGAGTACAGTAAAATGCTGTACCACCAGGTTTGTGTAAGTGCACCCCATAACGGTCACACAATGACAAAATCGCCTTACAACCCATTTCACAGAACATAACCCTGTTGTTAAGCGATGCATGACATTATATTAATTCTCATGCAGTTTGGCCAAAAGCATCTTCTTAGAAGAGTTTTAGGGCTATCTCTTACCAGCAACACTGATGAAGATTCCTTTGTGTATTTCTCTTAAATGATAAAATGTTAGGCTAAACAATTTAAACAAGCTTTTTCCCTCCTGCCAGACTGTCAGAATTTTTAATATGCTAATGTGCTCTGTGAATTTCTAAGATAGGATGAAGTATGTGGCAGTTTAAAACTGCTTTGGTCACAGAACCTCAGAACAGATGTGTTGCTGGACCAGAGAGCTGTGTAATAATACGTTGATAGAAAGAGTGCTCTAATGAACTCTGTGAAGCTCTATAACATAAGAAAACCACTGTATACCTCTGAAGAAACGAAACATATAAACCATCTGAAGTATTAGCTTATGAAAATGAAAAAATACGTCAGGTAAAACATCGATCAAGGTATTTACATTAAAGAGTTAATCAGTTAATGATACCCAGAATAGTTATGTATGTACATCAACAAAGATAAACTAAAATCAATTAATTTCACTGTATACTCGGCTAAGCAAAACAAGATCTTCAGTTGTGATGTAAATAAATACCTTCATTGCTTTCCTCAAAAGAAATGCGCTTTAAGCCGAAGCATCATGTGAGTGAGTGCACGCTCAGAACTGAAGCATTGTGCCAAAAAAAATGTATACTAGGTGCTTTTTATTGTGGAAATAAATATAAAACCCTTCCCCAGCCAAGAGTTCCATTAGAAAATGAAAAAGTCAGCCTCAGCATGGATGCAAGTGCTTGCTTTTTTATGATCCTGGCCAACATTCCTACTCCAAGTTGCTTTGGTGTTGTGCCCACTGCAGACCTGGGAAGGTAGAAAGGCTCTGCCAGGTACCGCCTTAGCCAGCAGGGTTTCCACGGCTGCCCAAGAGCACAAGACCCCGGGGCCTGTGCCTCGCCGATAGGAGTGAGGTCTTCAAATCAAAAGGCAGAGGCAGCCTCTAATCCTACCAGCGCTGATTATCTGGGCAGGCAGAAAAGGTGTTCTTTGCTTCCTTGAGCCATTTTCTGTTGCCCACTTATGTTTTCCAGCATGCAAACCAATGCCAGAACGCTCATGCTGGAAATCAGAGCGGCGGAGATCCCAATCATGCTTATTGCTACTCTAGGAAAGGCTGATGGAAGAGGATGAAAGTATTGAATAAATGAACAGGGAAATGATCTTTAGCTTTTAAGCCTTCTGCATCCTCTTATGGTTTCGGAAAATCAAGACAAATATCCTCTTGTGAAACATTTCAGACAATACAACAAAGCTGTGCTATATAAAGGTATTTCAAAGCAGAAAACCTCGACATCCTCGTATAGTGTATTTCTGTATAAATAAAAACAATGTACATAACATCTATATACACACAAGAAGTCTAGAAGAATATAAATCAAAATGTTGATGGCTACACTTTATAGGATGGCAATTACACATTTACTGAAGTGTAATTGCTTTAAAAACGTTAACAGTCATCTGATTTAGGGAAGATTAGAAGTAATTTTAATTTTTTTCCTGCTTTTATATATTTTCCAAATTTTCTTGACGGTATATGTGTCTTTTTTCTTTTTTTTAAGACAGTCTTTCTTGCTCTGATGCCCAGGTTGGGGTACAGTGGTGCAACAATCTCAGCCCACCACAACCTCTGCCTCCCAGGTTCAAGCAATTCTCCTGCCTCAGCCTCCCAAGTAGCTGGGATTACAGGAGTGAGCCACCACGCCTGGCTAATTTTTCACATCTTTAGTAGAGACTGGGTTTTACCATGTGATTACACAAAGATTGAAGAAAAATGAAATATGTAATTTTTCAAACTCAGTATTGGTTGAGGGGGAACATGTGAAGCCCCAGGGGAGGTTTGGAGGAAACCTCCAGACACCAGGGAGGCAGGAAAGTCGCTCTCCTGGTTGCTATATCATATGTGCCTGGTTTCAGTTTAACCCCATTCAGAAAGGGTAAAGGAAATTGGACAAAAATGAAACCAAAACATTTAGGGAGAAAAAGTACACTTGGCACCAAATAATGAAATTGAGCTAGTGGTATTTAGACACTGCTAAATGTTTTCGTTGTTGTTGTTGCTGTTCTTGTTTTTGAGACAGAGTCTCATCGTCAACCAGCCTGGAATGCACTGTCGCGACCTTGGCTCACAGCAACCTCCGCCTCCCGGGTTCAAGCCATTCTCCTGCCTCAGCCTCCTAAGTAGCTGGGATTACAGGGGCACACCACCACACCCGGTTAATTTTTATATTTCTAGTAAAGACAGGGTTTCGCTATGTTGGCCACGCTGGTCTTGAACTCCTGACCTCAAGTGATTTGCCTGCCTTGGCCTCTGAAAATGCTGGGATTACAGGTGTGAGCCACTGTGTCTGGCTAGACACTTCCAAATATTCATTGGAAGAGAGGGAAGACCCAGGGAAAAGTTAAAGACTTTGGAGAACAAGAAAGAGAGGGCAGAAACAGAAAAGGACAGAAAATAAGACGAGTTTAGGTCTCTGTTAAGAATCATGGCCAACTTGGCATGAAGAACCCAGGACAGATATAAAAGAGGGTGAGAAAGAACCATTAGTACCTTCATTCCTGCTGCGGCTGCAGGGCCACTGGGGTCGACAGCCTGGATGTGGCATGGCTTACTTCCTCGCACCACAAAACCCCAGCCAACTGCGTCACCAACAATCTAGAGAGGAAAACCACAATTAGCAAGCAGCCGACTGTCTCCGGCAATTTGCTTATTCTTCTGAGAGAGAGAAAACCAGCCCAGGATTAAGTGTGCACTGTGACATATCTTCTTTCGTTTCTTTCTTCCCTGACAGGGGATTGGAACACTGCTTCTATCACAAATGCAGGCATCTCCCTGTAGAAAATGTGATTATATATATATATATATATATATACATAATCTGTTTGGCAGAAAGAAGACGCTCCCGTGAAGGTATGATTCAGTAAACAACTGGAAGATTTCCTCTTTCTTAGGCTGTTATACAATTTAATGTCAGACTCCAGCAGAAGGTTTATGAAAAGTCTTAACGTGGTTGAAATGTCTCTCCAGATAACAATTTCTACTCTAAGTTTGTTCTTTTCCCCAATATCCAAATGATACACTCTTGACTCTGCAATGTCATTGAAGTCTAGCATTAAATTGCTAATGGTGGGAAATAAAGAGATTTGGCTTTCTTTTTTATTTTTGAGACAGAGTCTCATTCTGTCACCCAGGCTGGAGTGCAGTGGTGCAATCTCAGCTCACTGCAACCTCCACCTAGTGGGGTTCAAGTGATTCTCCTGCCTCCGCCTCCCAAATAACTGGATTATAGGCACACAACACAACGCCTGGCTAATTTTGTATGTTTTTAGTAGAGACAGCGTTTTCCCATGATGGTCAGGCTGGTCTGGAACTCCTAAGGTCAGGTGATCTACCCACCTCAGCCTCCCAAAGTATTGGGATTACAGGCGTGAGCCACCACTCCCAGCCTATACTTGGCTTTCTTAAAACACAATATTCTCCACCACGGGGGATAAATGAAGAAGGACGTACAGTCCACAATGAACTTAGACTCTGACCCGAAAGTTGTTTGGAATTAGAGCAGGCCTTTTCTATAGAAATCATTATTAGAGCTGGCAGTTTCATTCCCTGGACAGCTCCTAGCTATGTCTTTCACACATAGCCCAACCAAAACACAGCTGAAACACACTCACAACCAATTACTAACAATGTTGGCATTTAAATTAAAAATCAAAAATTAGGGGTGGGGTGTGATGGCTCACGCCTGTACTCCCAGCACTTTGGGAGGCTGAGGTGGGTGGATCACGAGGTTGGGAGTTCAAGACCAGCCTGACCAACATGGTGAAACTTTGTCTCTACTAAAAATACAAAATTAGCCAGTCGTGGTGGCGCATACCTGTAATCCCAGCTACTCGGGAGGCTGAGGTAGAAGAATCACTTGAACCCAGGAGATGGAGGTTACGGTGAATCAAGATTGCACCATTGCACTCCAGCCCGGACAACAAGAGCAAAACTCCATCTCAAAAATAATAAATCAAAAATAAATACTTTTAAAATACAATCTACTGTCTCTTGAATGCTGGAGACTGAGGACAAACAGGGAGGCAAATGAAAATTTTTGTGGAAATGCTCAAGATTTTCAGGCACTTCCATGACTTTACAGTTTGCTGTTATTTGTATATTATATTCAATTTCACTTCTGAAGGTACAGTTTATCTTTTCCCCTGGTACAGACGTGTTATCAGTGCCTTTCTCCTATTAACTCCTCAGCAGTCAGAATGTGAAGTAGCCTCAGCAAATGTTTGCAGCGTGACTGAGTGTGGATCGAGTTCCACCCTCCAGCCTCATAATGCCACTAAAGTTAGAAGATGAGGGAGAAGTGCTTTGAAGAGGTGATAACATGGATTTGAGGAGATCAACAGGAGACACAGGAGGGGGAGTGGACGCCCTGAGGCTGATACGAGCACTTTCATTCTGTTTGAAGAAATCCAGTGCATGCAGAAGGAACCTAAAGGACCTCCAAGAAGGGGCAGGCGGTTGGAGCTGCTCACAACAAGTCAGAGGCTTGGGTGTTCACATTGTCAGAGCACCATGCCTACAGTAGAACGATTCATCCCACAGTTTCCTTTCTCTACCTTAACACTCCCTTAATGTTTTAAATAATTTCTAGAACTATGATGCAGAAGGGATTACTGGCATCATTTTCACTTCATTTCCCTTAAAATCTAATAACTTAAATTACAAATAGCGGAAAATAAAATCTGAAATTATTAGATTTTAAGGCAAATGGAAGTGCAAATGATGCCAGTCTTAAAATTTGCAATTAAATTAGAGTAAGTGCATAATGGAAATCTTTTCTCGTCTCTTCTCTTCCCTTCTCTTTTCTTTTCTTTTCTTTCTTTGATGAAGTTTTGCTCTTATTGCCCAGGCAGAAGTGCAATGGCGCTATCTCGGCTCACTGCAACCTCTGCCTCCTTGAACCTTGAGAAAGGTTCAAGCCATTCTCCTGTCTCAGCCTCTTGAGTAGCTGGGATTACAGGCGCATGCCACCACCAGGTCTGGCTCATTTTTTTTTGCATTTTTTGGTAGAGATGGGGTTTTATCACATCGGTCAGGCTGGTCTTGAACTCCTGACCTCAGGTGATCCGCCCGCCTCAGCCTCCCAAAGTGCTGGGATTACAGGCGTGAGCCACTGCGCCCAGCCCAAAATCTTTTCTTTAAAAAAGAACACATCAAAAACATTTTAAATGCTATATTACTAATAAGGCATGTGAAGTCCTAATGTATTTTAGTGCCTTAAGGTCAAGAAAGCCTATTATCATAATTATGCTAAAATCAAAAAGAAAATTAGAAAAGTTATTTTCATTTCAGTCTATAAGCTACCCATTGACACATGGACATGGTGCAGAAAAATGGGAGAAAAAAGCCAGAGCATCAGCCTACCGTGAATGTCTTCCTTGCATACGGAGCCCCGGGAGTAAGGAGTTCCTCAGACGTGACGGGTCTCTTTAGCACTGTGAGATAAACACAATGTCAAGAAATAAGCACTTCCAAGTTCTCCCTCCATGCATTCAGCAGGTATTCATTGATATCTCGTAGGTGACCATCAGTGAGAAAATGTGGCAAAGATCCCTGCTTCACAGTTTGCATTTTAGCTGAGTAGAGATAGAAAATCGCGGCAAACATAAATAACCATAAACCTACCTTACAAAGCTAAGAAAAAAAAAAAGAAAGGGAAGAAAATCAAGCGTGCCAGGAATGGGGGCTAAAGGGGAAGGTCAATTTTTTTTTTTTTTTTGAGACGGAGTTTTGCTCTTGTTGCCCAGGCTGGAGTGCAATGACGTAACCTCTGCCTCCTGGGTTCAAGCAATTCTCCTGCCTCACACTCCTGAATAGCTGGAATTGCAGGCACACACCACCACACTTAGCTAATTTTTGTATTTTTAGTAGAGACAAGGTTTCACCATGTTGGTCAGGCTGGTCTTGAACTCATGACCTCAGGCGATCTGCCCGCCTCAGCCTCCCAAACTGCTGGGATTACAGGCATGAGCCATCGCGCCCAGACTGAATTGTTTCAATAAGGAAAAATTATATGTCTTCTGATTCTCACATTTCTTTCTTTTAACTCCTGATATGAATTTACATATGTCAAAGTTAAGTCCATCTTCATCCAATGTCCTGCACCCATCCCACACACTAAAGCTTCATTCATTTCCTTCTTAACACTTAGGACCGCCTGTACACACTGCTTTCTGCCCTATGTAATAATGCTAGTGACCTTTTCTGAGTACTCAACATGTGCTAGAGAGGTACCATGCAAAGTGCTGTGAATATATTAACTCACTTAATCGTTACAAGAATGAATGAGTTAGGATCATTGTTACCCCATTTTATAACTGCAAAAACCACCTCAGAAAAGTTAAATTGATTGTGTCCAAGGTACCAGAGCTAATGGATGTGGCAGAAGAGGAATGAAACTCAGGCGTTAGACACCAGTGCCCACACTCTCAGCTACTGTGCCACACTCGCTCCTGTGCCACGCTGTCCTGCAAGCAAAAGAAAGGATGTAGAAGCTCAGGAAGATAGTGGCGTGCAGTCCTCCTAAGACATCTCTTCACATCAGCTCACTGCTGTGCCTATCAAGATGGCAGACAGCAGCCAATTTCTGACTTACGGCTGCCTAAAATCCACTGACAATGAACCTCCCCATCCATCCTGTTCTCGCTAAGAATTGGAAAGGCGTTGCCGTATCTTCTTCAAGTAGCCAGGGGATCGGGGAACAGGGACCATTTTAATCCAGCTCTGTAGACATCATGAACTTGAAGTGCCACAAAGAAACAGAAAAGGCCTCAGCCAAGGGACCTAAACTGCTGAAGTGTCGTCCTCCGATCCCCTTTGCTAGTGGCAGTCAGAGGTCAGGTGCAGTCCTGGAACAAGGGTGCGGCAGACAAAGAAAGGCAGCGTGGGGCGAGGCCTGATGACCCACCAGGCAGCTGGGCCTTGCCCGCTGGTTATGTGCTTGGCCTTCTGGCCTGACAAGCACCCTCTCAGTGAAAGGCAATCCAGTGCTCCTTGTTGAGGTGACAGGTTGCTGATCTTATCGCTTTTGGTTTCAGAAATCTCATAAAAGGGAAAACTTATGTTCGCCAAACGAGAGGGAGTAGGTCAAATATCAAAATGGAAACAGACTTTCTCAGTAGATGGATGGGAGGTGAGAAAACTGGTCAATATTTGAGGACCAAAATCTTTTTATTCTCTGTCAAATAACTCTCTCCCCACTCCCCATAAACCCCCAGGGGGCTTATGAATTTGGATGCAGGAATCACACTGTACTATTTGGCAGAGGTGATAACCATCACTTTTTTTTTTTTTTTTTTTTTTTTGAGGCGGAGTTTCGCTCTTGTTACCCAGGCTGGAGTGTAATGGCGCGATCTCGGCTCACCGCAACCTCCGCCCCCTGGGTTCAGGCAATTCTCCTGCCTCGGCCTCCTGAGTAGCTGGGATTACAGGCACACGCCACCATGCCCAGCTAATTTTTTGTAATTTTTAGTAGAGACGGGGTTTCACCATGTTGACCAGGTTGGTCTCGATCTGCCGACCTTGTGATCCACCCGCCTTGGCCTCCCAAAGTGCTGGGATTACAGGCTTGAGCCACCGTGCCCAGCCGATAACCATTACTTTTAATGCACTTCTCCTCTTTATTTTATTGAAAAAAGAAACATTGAGGCCCAGGGAAAACATTCTCTTTTCTTTTTTTGAGACGGAGTCTCGCTCTGGAGTGCAGTGGCATGATCTCAGTTCGACGCAACCTCTGCTTCCTGGATTCAAGTGATTCTCCTGTCTCAGCCTCTGGAGTAGCTCAGATTACAGGTGAGTGTCACCATGCCCAGATAATTTTTGTATTTTTAGTAGAGACGGAGTTTCACCATGTTGGCCAGGATGGTCTCTTTTCATATTCTTGGAAGCTTATTTGCTTATCACGATGATACTGATTACATCAATATCTTTAGAACTGTTTTTTTGTGCGTGTGTCTGGCTTAGGGCATTTATATATAGTACTAAAAAAACATATCCTGGTATATTTAGAATAATTAATTTTTTTTAATTTTTTTTCTTTTCCAACCTCCTGAGAGATCATTAATTTTTAAATGCCTCACTGTGAAGTCCTGATCATCTGCTTGAGAATAAAAAAAATCACAGATGAGCTCATGGGTCTTGGGAACCCTCGCGAGAGAGAAGCTTGTCAAACTATGGGTAAGAAGTGGGATTTACAAACCACAACTCGGTCCTGACAGCTCTTATTCTTAGAAACCCAAGAAAGGAAACAAGACCTTTCTCTTCTGCCTGCACAACAGTAAACTCTCCCCTTTGACCCAGAGGCAAGGAGAAAGAGGCAACAGCACTAACCTACCTCAGGGAACATGGATTTTGTTGCTAATTTCAGTAATTGACACTTTTTTCATATTCTATCATACGCAATCAAAAACATGTAAAATGGTGATGGCACCACTGACCCTTTTTTGAAACTGAGATCGTTTGCTCTGAACTTTGAGGATGGATGTCAGATTTCTATGAGGGCTTCAAACATCCCATTTCTAAGAATTCAGTTCTCCTTTTTCATTCTACTTAATCAGCAAGCTCCAGTGACTGAAAACCCCAATACTCAACGACTGCAGCCAGGACAGTGTAGAAGCAAGTTTCTTCATCCACTTACAGGTTACAACTTTATTACTGATGCTAACTCTCCAGAAGGCAGCAAAAAAAGAAAAAAGTTAGATCAGGAAAAATAACCACCTTCCTAGATAACGGCATTAGATGACAGAGTTTTCTCTCAAAGCCTTTTGAACAGCATCAATTAGTCCTTATTCTTAGTAACATGTAATATTTTTTTTCTCCAAAGCGGTAGGGTATTCACTGAGTTGGGGGTGATGACCTGTCATCTTTGTACCCCCAAGATCTGATTGTGAGGAAACAACCTGAACCAAAGGAACAGAGCCTCTTCCTCAAAGGTGACAAACTGAACTGGGGGTGGGCAGTGCACTAAACAAATAGGTTTGAGAGTCTTTTCTGGTGGTTACTGTAGGGATGGACCACACATCCTCATCCTGGCAAGGAGAGCAGTGAGGACACGAGGTCAGTAAGGGATGGTGAGAAAGGGCAGTTTCAATGATTACCAGTTCCTGGGGGGTTGATGAACTGACTGGGTGGAGGAAGGATTGTTTGTAAGTACATGTTCACCAACAATCTTTGTGCCTAGATATTTTTCCTTGAATATAAAGGCTATGGAGGTTGATGAGCAGATTTTGAAACTACAGGGCACCCAGAGTCGATTCCAGTGACAGTTGGGTATGCACAGATCCAGGCGTCTTCCTTAAGGGTGTTGGGCTACAACAGATCTTTGCATCTGCTGCATTCTGGGGAAGTGCTATTTCTCCTGCCGTAGTGAACACTGTCACACACTGCCCAAAACCCCCTTCAGGGGAGTGCTAAAGGAGACAGCCCTCAGCTGTCTTAGGGACCATCTCTCTGAAAACAGCAGCTTTGCCCAAGGTCATGGCCTCCTCCCAGGGGCCACCGATACCTAATTACTGGTCAACATGTGGATCCAAAGGCCAAGCCCCCTCAACACAACTCCAGGCAACTTAGAAGGGCCACCCCAGCTCCAGAGGTCCCACTGGGTCAATGATAGCCTTCACGGAGACTGGGCTACAACCCAATTTCTCCTTCAGCCCAATTCTTCCTTCCCTTCCATTCAACTCGTGTTGACCCCAAGAGCATGCTCTAACTTCTTAGAGCCCACAGACTAGTCTCCCTCTATCTTAGATTCTGCTTTCCAGGGACTTGCCCAAGTCCCCACAGTCCTAGTCAGGAGCAGGGCCACCTTTTGGGCACTCACCAGACTTGGGGTTGCAGAGCACAGGGGGGCTGCTGCTGAGGGTGGGGCTGCTGCTGAAGTACCCGCTGCTGCCGCAGCTGCTCATGCTGCTCCTCCTCACGGCAGACACGATCTTGATCTCCTTGCTGGGGCTCACTGTGTACCAGAAAACACACACAGTCACCAAGGGGGCGGTCTCGGCTCTCTAGAGCACATAGGCTTTCAACCACAAGGTCCAAGGAAGCCAGGAAAAAGCATGCCGGTCTTAGTGGCAGAAAAGCAAGCACTTGAGTTGCAGCTCTGCCACTTACTTTATATTACATTATTTTGTTTTTTTTTGAGATGGAGTCTCACCCTGTTGCACAGACTGGAGTGCAGTGATGCAATCTGGGCTCACTGCAACCTCTGTCTCCCAGGTTCATGCGATTCTCCTGCCTCCCGAGTAGCTGGGACCATAGGCACCTGACACCACGCCTCGCTCATTTTCCTACTTTTAATAGAGATTGTGTTTCACCATGTTGGCCAGGCTGGTCTCGAATTCCTGGCCTCAAGTGATCCACCTGCCTCAGCCTCCCAAAGAACTAGGATTATAAGTGTGAGCCACTGTGCCTGGCCAGCTCTGTCATTTACAGCACAACTTGAGTAACATCAGGGAAGCTCTCTGAGCCTCTATGTCCCTGATTGTAAAGAGAGAACAATGCTGTTTTCAGGATTGGTGCAAGGTGTGGATTATATCATGTTTGTGAGAGGATGATACTATTTCAAGGACTACCACTTCCATGTTGAGCAGTCCCTGCTGGGATGTTAATGACGGGTTAGCTACATGGGATAAATCAAGAGTATAATAAATGCCTTCTGATTTCAAATAAAACCATTAATCGGGCCGGGCCCAGTGGCTTATGCCTGTAATCCCAGCACTTTGGGAGGCAGAGGTGGGAAGATTATGAGGTCAGGAGTTCAAGGCCAGCCTGGCCAACATGGTGAAATCCTGACTTTACTAAAAATACAAAAATTAGCCAGGCGTGGTGGCAAGTGCCTATAATCCCAGCTACTTGGGAGGCTGCGGCAGGAGAATTGCTTGAGTCCAGGAGGCAGAGATTGCAGTGAGCCCAGATTGAGCCATAGCACTCCAGCCTGGGTGGTAGAGCAAGACTCCATCTTGGGGGAAAAAAACCACATTAATGCACACATTCAGGCTTTGAGCATGTATGTGAGTCAGTGTCTTTAATTTTCTGATTTGGTTCTCTGTCATGGAGTAGGCTGGCTCTCAGCAAGGGGAAGGTATATGACTGAAAGAAACCATGGGGAGTTACTTTCATGTGCACGTGGGAAGCACAAAATAAATGCTGGTGTTTATGGGCATGCTATAGTCTGAATATACGTCCTCACCTAAATCTCATGTGGAAAGGTAATCCCAGTGTTGGAAGTGGGGCCCAGTGGAAGGTGATTGGGTCACGGGGGTGGATTCTCATGAATGGTTTAGTGCCATCCCCATTACACTGTCCTCACGATAGTGAGTTCTTGTGAGATCTGATTATTTTAAAGCATGTGGCACCTCCACCCCCAATCCCTGCCACTCCTGCTCCCCTTCACCTTCCACCATGATTGGAAACTTCCTGAGGTCTCCCTAAAAGCAGATGCCACCATCCTTCCTGTATTGCCTACAGAACCGTGAACCAATTAAACTAATTTTCTTTATATTAGGTTGCTGCAAAAATCATTGTGGTTTTTGCCATTAAAATTGATTTCTGGCCAGGCCTGGTGGCTCACGCCTGTATTCCCAGCACTTTGGGGGCTGAGGTGGGCGGATCACTTGAGGTTAGGAGTTTGAGACCAGCCTGACCAACATGGAGAAACCCCCTCTCTATTAATAATACAAACACTAGCCGGACGTGGTGGCATATGCCTGTAATCCCAGCTACTCAGGAGGCTGAGACACCTCCTGGGACCGCTTGAACCCAGGAGGCAGAGGTTATGGTGAGCCAAGGTCGCACCATTACATTCTAGCCTGGGCAACAAGAGTGAAATTCCATCTCAAGAAAAATAATAAAATAAAATAAATTAAATTAATTCCTGTGCCCCAGGAGCTGAGCAAAGCTTGGGTGCATAGCTTCATGGGAGCTAAACTGATGTTAGCTAAAGCTGGTGGACTGAATAGGAGGTGATAATGAGACCACTTACAATCATATGACATTTCTGTGCCCCGTTACTTTTTGCCATTTTGCCATTGCTTTTCATGGCAAAAACCACGATTACTTTTGCATCAACCTAATAAATTACTCGATCTCAGGTATTCCTTTATAGCATTTAGAGAATGGACTAATACAGGTTACCATGGTTACAATATCCTTCTACTCATCCTTATCACTTGTTCAGTATATTGGGCCCACTCAAGAAACAGGCAAACACTTCCTTGTGAAAAAGTAAAATTACTCTGCAGAAGTTTGCAAAGTTAAGGAGATGTACATCTGGGGTGTCCTCTTGGCCTGACCAGGATGGCCTGGGAGCACAGGATTAGGCTCCTCACCCTCAGCCAGCCTTTCTTTTTCCACAGAAGCTCATGCTTCTTTCTTTCCTCCAGATGGCTGTGTCTGAGGAACCTGGGGTGTGTGGGGTTGGGGAGGTGGCAGCATATTAGAAGTATTGTAGTAAAACAAAACTAGTAGGAACTAAACTGGTGTTAGCTACAGCTGGTAGACTGAGCCCTGCCCACCACTTCCTAACCTGTGTAAGCCACTCAATTGCTCTGTGCCTTAGACTCTTCACCTGTAAAATAGGTGTAAGAAAGATCCTTTCTCTTAGGGTTATGGTAAGAATTAAATGAGAAAATTCATGTAACCAAGTTTGGCTCAGGGCCTGGGGCACAGAAATGTCTCAATACATGTAGTTGTTTTGTTTTATTTTGTTTTGTTTTGAGACAGAATCTCGCTCTGTCACCCAGGCTGGAGTGCAGTGGCGAGATCTTGGCTCACTGTAACCTCTGCCTTCCGGGTTCAACTGATTCTCCTGCCTCAGCTTCCTGAATAGCTGAGATTACAGGCACCTGCCACCACATCTGGCTAATTTTTATATTTTTAGTAGAGACAAGGTTTCACCTTGTTGGGCAGGCTGGTCTCAAACTCTTGACCTCAGGTCATCCTCCTGCCTTGGCCTTCCAAAGTGCTGGGATTATAGGCATGAGCCACCACACTCAGCCTCAATACATATATTTGTGGCCAGATATGGTGTATCACACCTGTAATCTCAGCGCTTTGGGAAGCTGAGGCAGGCAGATCACCTGAGGTCAGGAGCTCGAGACCAGCCTGACCAACATGGAGAAACCCCATTTCTACTAAAAATATAAAATTAGCTGGGCGTGGTGGCAGATGCCTGTCATCCCAGCTATCCGGGAGCCTGAGGCAGGAGAATCGCTTGTACCCGGGAGGTGGAGGTTGCCAAGAGCCGAGATCGCACCATTGCACTCCAGCCTGGGCAACAAGAAAGAAATTCCATCTCAATGAATCAATAAATAAATAATTACATTTTCTTTTCCTTTTACACCCTCCCTGCCAGTCAGATCAGCTGAATCAGCCCTGATGATCAACGAAGTGACAGTTGTCACAGCCAGATCACCCTTACAGCCAATCACCGTCGTTTCCATCAGGCCTAACCGCACAGCTGAGACTGTCTGCTTAAAGTGTAACACCACTGGCTGCTATGCTTTGTGAGACTTGTATCAGCTTTTCATTGCTCTTCTTTGTTCTCTATCACCCCGATAACAGGTGGATAACCAGACACTTTTTTGTTGTTATTGGTGTCAATGCCCACAGAAATAATCTTCTCATTCATCTTCAAAATAGATAGCTTTTCAAAGTCGTGATTTACAAAACTGAATAATTAAATGATATGTAAAAACCACTTGTATTATATTTATTTATTTTTAAATTTTTTGGACTTATGAAGTCTTGCTATATGGCCCAGCCTAGTCTCAATCTCCTGGCCTCAGGTGATCCTCCCGCCTCAGCCTCCCAAGTAGCTGAGATTACAGGTTTATGCCACCATGCCAGGCAAGAATGGTTTATAAATGAAAAGTAAATAAGGTATGAGTGAGAGCCTGAGAGGTCTTCAATACTTCATGTACATAGTTTTCTAAAACAGAATCCTGGCATCTACGTTGGTGGCCCAAGACAAACTTAGGGTTTGGGAATTTTTTTTCATACTTCTTGGTTATGAATAAGTAAAAATCCTACTCTGTGATAGAGACAGAATTTCACAAAGGTGAGTCATGGCTCTATTATTTCTCAAAAGACAAACACATGAGCTCCAATAAACCCTGGGATGGCATACCTGACATAAAGCTGGTAGATTTCCGATTGTCATGGCTCTGCTTCCTCAGGCAGAAGGGACTGTCATGAGTTTCCTGGGAGGAGGGGGACTTTTCATTGAGCAGCTCCATTAGTCTTCGCCTCCGCCGGAAGTTCATTCTGAACTGGTAGAGAAGATTGCTGTCCACAAATGGGTGCTTGTTGGACACTGAGGAGAAAAAAGACAGCCAATGAGGACCACCTGGCATCCTGGCCACTGAGTGCTACAGCCAAAGGACTCCAGGCAACAGGGATAACACTCTCAAGAAAGACTTCTGCTCCATAGATGCCACATGAGCTGCCGTCTATCCACCCAGTCTCAAGTTCTTTCCACGTGGCATGCACTTTAAAAATCTGCTAACCAATTCCTCTGGGGAGCTTTGCCTGACCTTGCTCCCAATCTGAGTTCTATTCTTCTTAGTGTCTTCCTGACTGCTGTGTTGCTTCCAGCAAAGCACCAATAACAGCGTATCCTCATTGTCTGCCCCCTTCTCTGTCTTTCCCTCTATACTCTAAGCTCTTTGAGGCAGTGATCATGGCTTCACTTATTCCCGTGCCCCCAGAGCCCAGAAGAGAGCTTGTCCCATAGCAACACATCTCAGTTTGTTTGCTTGCTTGTTTGTTTTTTGAGACGGAGCCTCACTCTGTCACCCAGGCTGGAGTGCAGTGGTGCAATCTCGGCTCACGGTAACCTCCACCTCCCGGGTCCAAGTGATTCTCCTGCCTCAGCCTTGTGAGTAGCTTGGACAAGTTTTTGTGCAGACCTACATTTTCATTTCTCTTCAGCATATAGCTAGGAGTGCAATGGCGGGATCATATGGTCACTCTAATATTTGGGCATTTGAGAACCTGACAGACTTTCCCCAAAGTGGTTGCTCCGGTTTACAATCCTACCACCAGGAAAGAGGTTCCAAGTTCTCCAAATCCCAACCAATACTTATCACTGTCGATCTTTTTATATTATTATTACACCTTATCCTAGAGGGTGTGAAGTGGTATCTTATTGTGGTTTTGATGTGCATTTCTCGGATGACTAACGATGTTGACCATGTTTTCGTATGCTTATTATCCAATTATATTCATTCTCTGGAGAAAGATCCTATCTAGATCCTTGGCCATTTTTCATTTGGTTGTCATACTCCTTGTGCCCCCACTCTCACAACCTCCCCTACCATCAGACATTAAGAGTGACATCTCTAGGGCTGGGCTCGGTGGCTCACACCTGTAATCCCAGCACTTTGGGAGGCCAAGGCAGGTGGCTCACCTGAGGTCAGAAGTTTGAGACCAGCCTGGCCAACATGGTGAAACCCTGTCTCTACTAAAAATATAACAATTAGCCAGATGTGGTAGCACATGCCTGTAATCTCAGCTACTCGAGAGGCTGAGACACAAGAACTGATTGAACCCAGGAGGCAGAGATCACAGTGAGCCCGAGATTGCACCACTGAACTCCAGCCTAGGCGACAGAGTAAGACTCTGTCTCAAAAAAAAAAAAATCTCAAATCAAAAAGAGTGCCACCTCTATCCCATTCTGCTCAAGTTTAGCCATAATAATGATAATAGTAATTCACCTACTATATACCACTGTAATAAGCCTTCACAAGTGTTATTATAATACCATCCCCACAACCACTCTGTAAGGTAGATACTGCTATCATCTTCATTTTATTCTTCTACCTCTCTTATAGATTCATATGTATGCAGCCAAAAGAACAACTCCATGTTTTCTTTTCTTTTTTGGTATGGAGTCTCACTCTGTCACCCAAGCTGGAGTGCAGTGGCATGATCTTGGCTCGCTGCAGCCTCTGCCTCCCAGGCTCAAACGATCCTCCCATCTCAGTCTCCCACATAGCTGGGATTACAGATGTGCACCATCACGCCCAGCTAATTTTTGTATTTTTAATAGAGATGGAGTTTTGCCACATTAGCTAGGCTGGTCTTGAACTCCTGGCCTCAAGTGATCTGCCCACCTCAGCCTCCCAAAGTGTTGGGGTTACAGGCGTAAGCCACTGAGCCCAGCCAACTCCATGTTTTCTAAAAGGCCTAGAGAACATATATCAGGTGCCTCTCCTCTTTCTCTTTGTGTTCATAATTTTGGCAAATGACTGCAAGATGGTTCCAGCCAAAAGAAATCTTCATTTTATAATGGAAGAATGAGACTCAAGTTGGTTGAGTAACTTGCTCAAGGTCACATAGCTACAGTTTCTGAGGCCAAAGTAATATGGGCTGCATGCTTACAAAGCCATACACATCATAGGTTGCAGGGGGTTAGAAAATAAAGTTATGGTAAAATGTCATCTTCTCCAACCCTCACTCCTGTCAGAGTTTACTTTCCTTCTATCATCCACGTGACTGGTGATAGGTAATTTTTCTTGATACTTACTGTGTTGTAGCATAATGTTTTTATGGAGGGAGGAGGGAGCATATCTCTTCCCAAACTAAATCACTCTGCTTGAGGGCACAGATGGTGGCTTAATTCTGTCATTCTTGAATCATAGATTTCTATTTGTTTTTCTTTTTTATATTTTATATTTTTTATTTATTTATTTATTTATTATTATTTTTGAGACAGATTTGCTCTGTCACCCAGGCTGGAGTGCAGTGGTGCAATCTCAGCTTGCTGCAACCTCCACCTCCTGGGTTCAAGCGATTCTCCTGCCTCAGCCTCCTGAGTAGCTGAGATTGCAGGCATGCGCTACCATGCCTGGCTAACTTTTGTATTTTTACTAGAGATGGGGTTTCACCATGTTGGTGAGGCTATTTGTTTGGCTCAGAGTGGGTGCTCAGGAAATAGCTGGAAGTGAATCATCCAGAGAGAACAGCCAGAGGGAGGAGGAGTGTGTGCAGAGGAGAGCTACCTTTGAACTAGTTAGCCGCCAGTCTGTGCAGCAGTTCCCCCAAAACCAATCCGTGAGCTCATGGTAGGTCATGAAGGGTTTGCTGGGGCATGGGGAAATTGAAACATTAAAGACAATGGATTTAGTTTTTCCTAAAACTAAGTATGTTCCACTTACAGGCTTTCCTTTATTCTGAAATTATACCTTCACTACATTTTTGTTGTTTGATTATCCATCCGTGTATTCAACTACCACGTATTGAGTTAGGCTGACTGCATCCCAGGTCCTTTTCTTGCCCAATGTTTTAGGAAAACATGGTAAAAACAGAAGTTAAACAAAAAATTAAGTCTTGGCAACTTTTTTTGGGACTGTAAAATTCACAATGTTATAAACCACTAGGAAAATAACCTAGTTAATAATAACCCATTAAGAATCATATTAATGCCTGTATCAATCATGCTAACTGGTCCAACAGTCTCTTTTGCTATTTTAAACAGCATCACATCCTCTCTAGGTCAACATCAACAAATGCAATCTAGGGTTGTAACTCTATTTATTTTCCACATATGTTAATGAACAATTCTTCTGGTCACGTAAATATCAAGTCTCACAATGTGGGTCCCTACTATGCGAGCACCAGTACCAACATTTAATCTAATAATTCATATAAGTATTCCACAGTTTGTTTTTTTTTTTTTTTTGAGACAGAGTCTTGCTCTGTTGCCAGGCTGAAGCACAGTGGCACAGTCTCAGCTCACTGCAACCTCTGCCTCTCGGGGTCAAGCGATTCTTCTGCCTCAGCCTCCCAAGTAGCTGGGACTACAGGTGCGTGCAAAACACCCGGCTAATTTTTGTATTTTTAGTAGAAATGGGGTTTCACCATGTTGGCCAGGATGGTCTCGATCTCTTGACCTCGTGATCCACCCGCCTCAGCCTCCCAAAGTGCTGGGATTACAGGCGTGAGCCACCACACCCGGCCTCCACAGTTTTTAAATGGTGATATTCACTTTGGCCAAATGAATAATGTTGGCCTCAAAGACAAATACAATTAATTCAGTGGTATTTCTACATACTCTTAATAAATAATCTGGACAGGTGTGGTGGCTCACACCTGTAATGCCAGCACATTGGGAGGTCAAGGTAGAAGGATAGCATGAGGCGAGGAGTTCAAGACCAGTCTGGGCAACATATTCTGTCTCTAAAAATAAAATGAAATTAAAATATTAACCAGGCATAGTGGTACATGCCTATAGTCCCAGCTACTCAGGAGTCTGAGGTAGGAGGATCTCTTGATCCCAGAAGATTGAGGCCACAGTGAGCCATGATCACACCACTGCACTCCAGCCTGGGCAAAAGAGTGAGATCCTGTCTCAATCAACCAATCAGTCATCCATGAATGCTCATGCATGTAATCCCTGCACTTTGGGAGGCTGAGATGGGAGGATCGCTTGAGGCCAGACATTCAAGACCAGCTTGGGCAACATGGGGAGACTCTGTCTCAAAAAACAAAATATAAAATAAATCATAAATAAACAAACCATTCTTGGATTCAGAAGAGGGTCACCTAATGCAACCTGGAACAAAAACTAAGCCAATCACACTCTGATACAATAGCTACAAATGCGGCTCTCTTGCGGGGAGGGTCAAATTTTACATAAATTTACTATATCACTGCACTCAATAATGCTATATTAAAATTTTGTAGGTACATTATTTATTTCTGGCAACCTTCCAAGTTTATTGTAATTTTTTCAAATCCTCAAGTTGGCTTAGGCAACAGTATCTTAAATATGACCTGCAAATATACAGCTCTGTATACATTTGTTAACACCTACTGTTTTCTCTTGGTACAGTGAATTACATAAAACATTGGCTCTGTATAAATAATTCCAGAAAAGCATTCTAAATCCAAAAAAAGAAAATCTATAACAGACTTCAAAGTACTTAAAAAGTATTATTAAATCAAGCAGAAATTTGACTGCTGACCTAAGTATATATCTCCTCCAGCTTTAATTACTGACCCATTGTTTAATTTACAGTCAGTCTCTATCCTCCCCACCTCTGTACCACACAACCTACAGGGCAAACATACTATCTAAGATCAAAGACAAAGGTTAACTTTAAATAGTCCTTCCTCATCACATTCTCTCCCCAGTAGAATAGGTGACCTCAAACATGATGAAATCAGGTAACATGAGGACCAGATGACACAGTCCACTATGAGTGTTCAGCATAATGCCAAATACATTGTAAGCACTCAGTAAATTGTACCTTTGTTATTTTACAACCACTGTTGTTTTATACTGTTATCATCATCTGCTGATGATATGCT